ATTTCAATTAAAGAAAGATTGGTGCAATTTGCACTTCTATCTAGTAAAATAAAAGCTCGTAGTGCTTGTAGGGAATAGTTGAGCCCGTTCTAGAGGAAGGCACTAATGCCTTTGTGCTCTGAACTTAAAAGATTGTTACACATAGGCATATCCCACCCAATTAATATCTTTCATATTACAATAAAGCAGCAGAACTACCGATTCAGATACATGGTTTTTAAACTGGTGTCGGTGCATGTCTTAAAAAATGCATTACAAATGTTCGTGATCATTTAGGAGAAACCATTATATAGGATAGAGAGCTGTATGCTTTCATCTCTGCAGATAAATTGTTAAAAATTTTGACAGAAGCTGAAAATAAGTTGTTTTTTTCAACTCCTAGGAACTGGAAATTTTTATTGTTGTTTAATTTACATATATACTTTTATCTTACTTTTCAGTAGATTGCATATATTGCTTCAAAATTTTTTAGTCAAATATAGACTCAAAAACACTGTTGATGATTTGCCAGAAAAATTAAGTGTTAACAAGGCTGTAGATGCAGAATTCATCAGCTTTTGTGCTATTTCTTGTGCTTAAATATCTTAGTTTAGAGAAAAATTGCTAAGAGGATAGTGAAGTATTGAGGCATTTCTCTGCTGTCAAAGGTCTTTAAAAACTCTTGGTTACACGTTTACACTCAGCTTTTTGCCATCTAGCAAGAAAGGTGGAAAAATCTCTTTTAAAAAGTAACGTTGTTCCAGGCAAAGAACAGTTGTTGAAGGTCACACCTGAACCTGGACTGTGGATTTCCCCCTCCCATTTTAGAAGAATAGTAATGAAAAATATGTTTTCCTTGAAGAAAGCAAATCTGGGATTCGTAGCCTGTAGAAAGCTGTTTTCTCAAAAGTTGGTTCTGGTTCCAAAAAACAATCAGGCTACCATAATTTATGTTGTTGGCAAGAGTTGGAGTTGTGACACCTGCAATAAGAAAGCCATGTATGTGATACTGGGCAGTGTCTCATAAATCATGCAGTTTGCCAGCTACCTGTCAGAGGAAAAAATCCTGCATGTAAATTTAGACCCACACAAGTGGTTCCCGGATCCAGGGGCTTGTGGATCACACTTCCTGATCCACCTTCAACACCTTGCCAATATTCTGCCCTGCTGGTGCTTTTCTCTTGGGAAAACACATCTTGATGGCTTTGACAGGAAAAGTTCAGAAGTCTGCTTTTTAATGAAGAAAGTGCAGCAGTAAACGGCCAATCCGGTTCATTCTTGTGTGAATTTAGTATATTGTATTAAAAGGAATGGCGGCTACTGTTTTCAAAATGGGATATCTCTACTTAGGTGCTTTAAATTAAAAGTAGATGCATGAATGTCAGTCTGCCTTTCAGGAGGACTTGGCAAATCAGTTCTCAACTGAAAGTTTCCACCTTGTACTGTGTTGGGCTGGCATAGAGTTAGCTTTCTTCATAGCAGCCTGGATGATGCTGTGTTTTGGATTTGTGACTAAAATAGCCTTGATAACACACCAGTGTTTTGGCTGTTGCTGAATGGTGCTTGAACAGTGTCAAGGCCTTCTCTTTTTCCCACTCTGGCCCCTCAGCAAGTAGGCTGGGGATGGGCAAATGATTGGGAGGGGACACAGCTTGAACAGATGACCGGAGGGATATGCCAGACCATATAAGACCATGTAAAAACTGGGGTAGAGGAAGAAGAGGGGTTTTGACTTCTAAGGTGGCCTTTGGAGACCGGCTAGGCATCAGTCTACATGTGAGAAGTGGTGAGCAATTTCGTTCACTTCACTTGTTTTTTGGTGTTGTGTTTTTTTTTTTTTTCTTATCATAGAATCATAGAATAGTTTGGGTTGGAAGGGACCTTTAACAGTCATCTAGTCCAACCCCCCTTCAGTGAGCAGGAGCATCTTTATCTAGGTCAGGTTGCTCAGAGCCTTGTCCAACCTGAGCTTGAATGTTTCCAGGGATGGGGCTTCTACCACCTCTTTGGATAGTCTGTTCCAGTGTTTCACCACCTTCATTGTAAAAAATTTCTTCCTTATATCTAGTCTAAATCTACCCTCTTTTAGTTTAAAACCGTTACCCCTTGTCCTATTGCAACAGGCCCTGCTGAAAAGATTTTGGTTTTCCCCTCGTCAATTAAACTGTCTTGACCCACAAGTTTTCTTGCTTTTATTCTTCCTATTTTCTCCCTTCACCCTGTTGGGGTGGGGGTCAGTGAGCAGCTGCATGAGTGCTTGGATGCTGCCAGGGAACAGCCCACCACACACCTGTACACTCAGGTATTGACTTTTCCACTAGATTGAGAAGGTAGCAGTTGATTATATTTATAGCCCATCCAATTAAGGAAATGCTTAATCAGCAGTCTCTGTTTAAATCAGCTCTACTCAAGCAATGGGTAAGGCAGTTACGGGATATTCCCCTCTCCTATTTGCAGTCAGTGTTCTGTAAGGGTTTGGGTGTAAAGGATGCTACAGTCAGTTTCAGGAGGGTGCTATGTATCATCTGCTGCCTACCCACTCAGCATGAGTTATTGCCACTGTTATTACCACTTCAAGTACAGGGGAGAGACTTGTTCATGTTAATGCACAGTCCTAGAATTTTCTTTTCTGAAGAACTGAAAGTTTTACTCATACATGGCTGGTGTCACACAGTACTTAACAATTGTTTTTAGTTAACTTTGTTAATCCTGTTATAAAGGTAATCCTTTAATATGTTATATAAAATAATAATCCTATTATAGAGACACTTTTTAGAGACCTAGTAGTAAATGGAGAGCAAATTCTGGTTTTAACAATTTAAAAAATTAGTTCAGAGTTGTTGCTGGTATTTTTGATGTGTCCATGTAGACTAATGCAATGTATGCAGCCAAAGTCCTAGAAAAACAATTAATAAAAACAAGCTTTTAATGAAAGCATCTAGCAGTGTACTTTTCAGTAAATATATATATAATGTTGCCCTGTTCTAAATACGACTTCTTGTAGAAATCTAAAGTGTGTATGAATTTCATATGATCTTCAGTATTTGTTGATCTTATGGACCTCTTAAAGAGCTAAGAATTAACCTAGTGTGTTGTTTAAGACCACTAGTAATCTATTAGTGAGGTTTTGAAATGGTTTTCAATAATGTTGTATTTTTAGATTCATGTCTGAGTTTGTTGTGCTATATATAAGGCATACCCTGATGTGGTACTCAAAAGAAAAAAAGAAAAAAAAAAGAAAAAAAACCCCGAACTTATAGCTTTTGTCAATGCTATTTTTTTTCATTCATAAGACACCCATTAATGGCTCAAGCGATGGTTTCCAATTCTGAGAAGAAACTAATTTTTTGTGATCCAAACTGTTCTCAGACTAGGTTTTCTTTTCATGTTTTTATTTATTTATTTACTTATTGTTCTGTGTGAGAAAGCTTTTTTGGAAATCATCTGTTTCTGGACACAATGAATACAAAGCATGGTCATGCGTGAAAGAATGGCACATGCTAGAGCGCGGGTGTAACTAAAGCAAGTAAACCTTATGCTATGAATGCAGAAAGGCATCTGAATGTTTTTACAAGATTTTTGCAGATCTGAATAACTAAGATAGAGGTGACTGTCTAAGTAAATAGTCTTCCATCTCTTGCTAAGTTGAAATGTATCCACAGAGAAAGCAAAAAGCTAGGAAATCTGTCTTTCATCACTTTTTGTATTGAGATAATACCTTTTGTGAATGTGTTCATCATCCCAAAGCATCACTGGATTCACTATGCCCCTACAGACCTTGCTAGCACTGGTTAAGTGGATTTTCTGCATAAGCATATAGCAAGCACGTAAGTAATAGGGAATGTATGAGGAAAGGAGACAAGAAAAAAAAGAAAATCCCTTGCCATGAAAGGAAATCATTTGCTCATGGCATATTGTTCCTGAAAAGACATGTGGCCAGTGATGGCCTGGTGGACTTTTGGTTGAGTGATTTTACTTTACGAAGATAAAAAAGGAAGGATGGGATGCTGGAATGTATAATCACCATAATTTAAGATAGATTTTCCAAATACAAAGTTAATGTAGACACAGAGTCTAGACAGCTGAAACTCTTTGAAAACTGCTTGATCCAAAAATAACACATTTTACAAATTAGGTGTGAAAAAGCCATTAGAATGAGCAGAAATAAAGTGGTTTGTGTACCTTCCAAAATGTACTTTTTCCCTCTTCTTCAAAGGAAAAATCATTTTTCTAGAGTTCTACTAGTTGTTTTGTTTTGAAACTACTGTACTTTAGTTAAAGTTTGGTTAATGCTAAATTATTCACTCTTTTCAGTTTTAACTTGGCTTACTGATTATAATAATGTCATTTGTAAAAATTCAGTTGCTTGATTTTAGCCATCTTCTATTTTTTTACGTGAAAGGTAAGTATCATGTATGAAACTTGTCGAAAGCTTCCTGTTGTGATTCTCTTAGTGTTACTGAAATACATGATAAAATACCAGTTCATCAATGTATACTCATATATAATCATTTCAAAACAATGTATCATTTATAATTCTAAAGCTGAAGAAATATGTTTGCAAATATATATATAAATAATATTTTATGTTATTTTGATATATGCTTTTAAACCAGAAATATATTTCATTTGTAGATGCTATTTTATTTTATTTGATTCTGTTTGAGGAATTGAAGAATAGTGTATAGGCAGAAGAGCAAGTGCTTAAATGGCAGGCTTCTTGGGGATTTGGAGTACTGTTTCCTGATGGCTGAGTTTTACTGTATCATTCTCACTATTCATAAATATGTTCTGCAAATAGTGCAGTTAGTTATTACCTGTCATATTTATTGCATTTTTTCTATATATACTACATTTTAAAGATATTGAAATACAGAGCAGATCAACAAGTAATAAACATTGAAACTGAGGCATTTGATTTTATTTTTTTCCCTTTTGTAATTACTTTTCTGAACTATATTTTCTGAAGTATTACCCATCAGTTGTTTTCTGTGGGCTCACATTCACGCACTCCATTGCAGGTCAGTTCCTCCTAGAAGAATCCCGCCTGATAGAAGCAGCTGAGATGGCAAAAAAAGCAGCTGAACTTGATAATACAGAATTTGATGTTGTTTTCAATGCAGCCCATATGCTCAGGTTAGTGCTTTTAAATCTGCCTTAATTTTCCTCCCTCCTTTTGGAGGAAAAAAGTCTTTACTGCCTTTGCTTACACAGGGTTATTTTTAAAGCCCAGCAACTCTTTTGAATAATTCAGTATTGCTAATAAGATAAAAAGAATTGGAGTGAAACTGGATTTAGCACTTTCTAATTTTCTATGTGTTATCTCATAATTTCTTACCTTTAAAACTTCTGTGGTTCAGAAGCAGGTAATCCTTTTTGCTTGCATATAAGAACAAGTGTTTCTTCCATGAAGAACCTTCTGCAGGAGTTCCTTTCACCTGATTTTTAAAAATTTAGGACACATAGCAACTGAAAATAATAGACCATATTTCTGATCTGGATGTAGGTCCAGAATATTGGAAATATCACATTTTATGTTAGTATCAATAGAGAACACTATGATAATTAGAAAGCTAAATATTCCCAGGCTAATGACTTTGAGACCCATAGGAGCATTTATTGATATTATCAGAATCTGTAATTTAAAATGTAGTGTTATATTTAATTCTGTTTTCCTCTCCGAATAGAATCAAGTTTTAGCCTTCTTTTTTTTTTCCTTTTAAAGCTGTCAGACCTGGATATTCAGTAACATTAAGCTTCTGCCTGAACATTATCATTAAACTCACATTACTGTAATAGGTATCCTCCATGGTTATTTCTAGGGTAACTATCTAATTATTGTCTATTGTCCACTTAACAGCTATGAGGATACTTAATTTCATTTAGTTTCTATCTATGCTTAGAAAATGCATGAAGAAGGAATAAAAAATACGCTTCATTAACACAAAACAGTTCTTGAGATAATTTCTCAAGATATCTCACTTGGCTGTTTGTACTTTTAACATTTAGAATACAAAATGGAAGGAAAAGAAAATGGTATTAGAGAGAAGGTAGAATCAGCTTCAGGCAAGTGACCTGTGTTTCAGAATGAAGGTTTCTATACCAAGATTTTGAAATAAGCCCCAAAACACTCTTTGAGAAATAACTCTCACTGTTTGTAGATTAGAAAGGAAACCAAGACAAATGGTTCACTGGTAAACAACAGTTTGACTTGCCACAGGAGAGGAGCTATGTTAAGGATCCTACCCTTTCCCCTGATTATTTTCTCAACGATGTCTCTCAAGATAGAGTTCAGTAATTTGAAACATTTAGATTGATGAAACAAATTCACAGACAAAAGCATAGCAAGTTAGGCATGAGAGCTGAATCCACAAGGGTATAGAGTGTGTCAGACTCCTGATTTCAGCAAGTGTGTTGTAGAAAGTGGTTTAACGGTGTGATTGTGGGTATTTTAAATGTGGTGGCGTAGATCAATACTATTTTAGGAATAATAAATTAATAAATCTCTTACTTTCTCTGTGAGCACTGAGTGATGTATCCCAGGTCTTGAAGAATGTCTTTACATAGGGATATGAGTATTTTTGTACTCTCAGAGTAAGAGCTATGCTGCTGTGCTGTACATCACCCATGGTTACCCTACTTGAGCTGGTTGGGAGTGAGCACTTTTTGGGAGGTTTCGACCAGCATTGAGCTCAGTGATTCTAAACTGCATTCTTTATTTTAGGTGTTGAATCCGAGAAAACTCACTAACAACTCAGTGTTATTAAGCATGTATTCTTTATTGCGGTGCCGGGCAGCACGGGGGATACCTCCTTCCATACATGAGTGCCCAAGCTTTAGGATTCTTGCCTTATATTTACAGCTTTCATGTTTATTCATTACATTTCTAAGAAAAGGTTGAGTCATTCTGATTATTTCCAGGAATTTATTAACATAAGTTCCTCCCACAGTCCCACCTCAGTCCGCCCAAGTTACCCCCCCGTCGGGGGTCCTTGGTGGTCATTTCGGTTGAAGGTCCAAGTCTTCCTCAAGGTTGAACTTTTGAACTTGTCCTGTGGCGCATGCCCTATACCATCATGGGTCTTTTCCGCTTTACACAACCAGCTCTTGCTTGCTGCCCTCCCTATCTCTCCTGCTTAGTCTTTTGTGTTCCTTGAGCCCCACAGTCTGATTGGAGGGTTCCACCTGCTGTTCTTCACTTGGTAGATTCTGCTTCATTCTTATCTTTAAAGTATTAGTTAGTCGGCAATGGATCTATGCATAAGGGTTGGTACAAATCAGCCTTCCTCCCTGTCTCTAAAGGCTGGTCAGCAGTTCTTTTCTAAAAGCTAGTTTTCTAAAATTTAGTTTTCTAAAGGCTAGTTAGCCATTCTTTATTACAGTGTAAGCAAAAAACCAAAACCTTTAAAAAAAAAAAAGAAAAAAAAATAGAGAGAAAACGCACCAAACCAAAACCCTGAAAAACAAATCCAAAAAAGCCTGGTGGTTAAGTTTAGCTAGAATCCAACTGTGCTGCTTTAGAATAGCAGTTGGTCTAATTTTTCACTTAAATACTCAGCTTTCTTTGTGGGAGATCATAATGTCTTCCTAATATGCTCTGGGAGTCTAAAGTGGTCTGGACTATTTAGCAAGAGTCAGGGTGGCAAAATTAAATTCAGTGCTGCCAAGTATTTGCTTAAGCCCACATCTGTTATGATCTGACTGATTTTTGCTAAAAGGTTATAATTCTGTTGTCTGCCTTTGTTCACTGCTTTACTTAGCAATTTATTCAATATATTGCTTATGTAATATCTGCTGGACAAGGAGAATGTATATTCATACATTAGGACAGAACAGCTAAAAATCCACCATGAGTCTGTGGGACTTGAGAAGAAGATGATTTTCAGGATATTTGGAATGATGGAGGGCTGAGGTGCTTCCCAGAGAAAAGCAGATACCAAGATCCAAAGAAGGAAGGAAAGAAGGGAGTACTCAGACTGGCATAGAGTGACACAGCTAGAAAATGCGGATGCTAAAGACAGTCATAAATGAAAGGCTGAAATTATTAAATGTAGTAGTTTCATGTAGGTGACCAACTGCTCTTTAGGTACTATAGAGAACTATAAAAACTGACAGCTAAGTAGGACTTTTTAATGGACTGCACAGCTGTGAAGTAGAAAATACATTATAGAAGTTCACAGGGCATGGAAGTGAATTGACTCTTGTGAGAGAGAAGGGATAAATTTTAAAGATGTGTTGTGGACTGAGAGACAGAAATTGATATTAATGTGGATGATGCAAGATTTCCCAAGTGACTGTGAGGTAATAACAGCAACTTAGATTTTTGTGTAAATTCTAATGGGTTTTTTTCAGATCAATTGTTCTACTCAGTGATGGACTGTTGAATTAGAAAGGAATCATCTTTCCCTCCTGTCATATTCCTGTTTCCACCATTAGCCCAAGGAGTGTCACAAGATGCAGAAATATGCAGACATTTCTTCAGAATTGCAGACAAATTCTTTCGAATTTGGGTTACAGCTGCTTTGGATGGAGAACAATCACAACATTCCCTCCAAGTCCAATTTATTTTTCTACTTTAGTGCTAAAAGATTTTACTTTTTTAAAATCCCTTTACTCTCGGAGAAAAAATGTTTAAATTAAAATGCAACCTAAATAACAATTAACAAGTTTTGAAAATTTTGAACTGAAATGCTGTGGGTTAGGGTTTTTTTTTCTTAAATTTGCAACAGAATTGTTAGCTGTGTCCAAATGCAGTAGCTGTATTTATAGATAGCCTGTTCTCAATTTAGAAGTCACAAGAAAGACTTCTGCTCCGTCAGGTGTTCCAACACTGTTCACTTACTCTCTTTGTGACTAAATCTGAAGTTGAAGTCAAGAAAAAAACCCTGAGTTAGTTCTGTTCACACTATTGAGAGACCTCCCTGTTCCTAATTACACAAACATAGTTATTAATTTTTTGCCTAGATGACTTCTGTAGGATCCTGATAATGCAATGCCAGATGAATCAAGTCATCTGTAATAGGGGTGAGATGTGGGATGAATATAATTAATTTCTTTGCAACAGTCTGGTAACTTTTAACTTGCATGGTACTTGCCTGTAAAATTTGTTTTCTGAACAAATTTGTTTTCCAGACAGCTTCATTCAAGGGTCATGTTTGCATGTAGCTGTTTGAGTGGTTCTTCTTAAAACCGTAACGGGTCATGTGTTTTTCTTTTGTAGTATTTGCTGTGCTCTTGCTTATATCAGTTTGAAGCCTTTCAGCAAAGCTAGATACATTTTAATGGAATGTAATGAAGCATTTATTTGTAATGCCATATGGTGGCTGTAGCTTCAGTGACTGTCATGTATTAACAGTGCTAAGTTTCACTTTGTAGTTGTGTACTGAGGTGATCTGCCAAGTGATAGGTTTCCTGTGATCTAGGGGAATGTTACTTTTAGAATGAGGAGTGGCAGTGTGGTGACACCGCCGTACTAATTAGAAACAGGAAGAGAGCTTCATGTCTCCAAAGGAAAACAAGCACAGGAAGAAGAAATTTGCTTAGAAGCACATTTTGTAGGAGGTTTGGTTTTTTTTTTCACTCATCTGTAAGTGGGTTGATCTGGGAAACACATATTACGTGAAATTATAGCACATTTATTGGCTATTTGAAAAATAAGTCTAAATTAGAGCAATACTACATGACATGGTCTTTGTTTTTCAGTGAATTTCTGTGAGTATTTTGGCTCTCAAAGTACACTGACTGAACATGGAGAGTAGCTGCTGGCACAGTCTCATAGGCACAAGTTCACCCTATGCTATTGTCTAAACAGATTTTAATCATTCTTTAAGTACTGTCCATGTGCTTAAATATATATATATGTATGTTTGTATGTATGTATGCCTAAGCGTATGATCTATGTAAATTTTGTAGCTATAAGTCTATGTATATTCTGTAAACAAAAAATGTGGATGAAGGGTTACATGTATGGAATCTGATTATGATTTTGTAGTGATGCAAAAAGGTCCATTAAGAATGCGAAGGATCACCTTTCAGTATTTTAAAATAAGAATCTCTTTGAAGAAAAATTCTTTATAGCTGGACTGACATCCATGATTTCACTTTAAAAAAAGTAAGCAACAGTCTGGAAGCCTTATACCAAGCAATAGGCAGGTTAAAAATAACCCTTTCCCATTCCTATGTTTATATGTCTAAATCAGTCAGCATTGGTGGCGTTTGACTCTTAAAGCAGAATTTCTTCTAGTGTTCGACAATAAGATTCGAAATGAATTCAAGCTGAATATAAACTGGGTGTTCAGAGAACCTAAGAGTGAGTGTGGTCAAGCAAGTTTATGAGGTGTCACTGACAGTCAGCTGGAACAAAATACAGGGAACTGGTAGGTCTGGAGGCTCAGGTTAAGAGATATGAGAGAATAAAAAGAGGAGACATTCTTGTCCCTCAAAATAAGATTGAATGCTACGTGTTAATGGGAGAAATTGGATGTGTTTGCAAGGTCAGTCCTCATGGAAAGACATAGGGTAGAGGTTGAAATATAGCTCGTAACTATGAAAAGGGCTCTGTCTTACAAACTTCCCTTTGCTTCCTTTCCTTCCTTTCTGTTTTATTATCAACATTTTATCTAATGTTTTACTCTAATGTGAATTACGTTTCCTTTAGTAGTGTCCTTCCATTGGTTGACATTGATCCAGAGCCTTTACTGCTCAGTGGCATAGGGTTACTGCAATTTCCTACCTCTGTGCCTTTAATTTTTTTCAAGGGAAAGCCACTCCAGGGCTTAATGTAATGAATTTCTAGTGTAGATTCTCAGTGAAAATGGGAACCAGAATTCTGCTGTATCTTAACTAAAGGAACTGTTGCTGAATGCCCCAGAAATGGAACTGGCATTTTCCTGACCAGATTAGTGTGGTGCGCATTGATTTCTATAAACCATTTTTAATGGAGAACTATAAATTCAAACAGATTTCAACTTAGGAATTAATGATCCATGTTTCAAAGTGTACACATGGGAGGAAAACAAGCCATATATTTCCACTGGACTAAAAGGGGACAGGATTTTAATTTGTTCCATGTTCACATGCCAACAACACTTTTTGGAGGTGAAGTGTACCGTCTGTGTCTGCCTCCTGGGTGAGGCACCCTGTTTATCATACAGAATTTCACCATGTTCAGAAATGCTTTGTTTCCTGACAGTTTTGTGCAAACAGGAAAAAAAAAAAAAAGCAAGCTCTGTGACATGTTTCATTTTACATGCCTTGTGGTAAATCCTAAAATTCAGAAGTATGAGATTCTTTTTTTTCAGTTGTTTCAAGTGCTACTAACACCCAGCAGGAGTGATTCAGAAGCAGGTTAAATGAATATTTTTAGACATTCAATCGTTTCTAACCACTGCAACCACTGAGTCAATGATACATGTGCAAAGTAATTTAAAACAGTTAACAAGTATAAACCAGGTTCTACTTGGCAAATTGTTAGTCAGGAAGCGGTTTCAGCTTGCGCATGAATTATGTGAGAAGCTTCAAAGGGATTATCTTTCCTCCCTTTCTCCTCCCAAGACCAATAACTGTCAAAATGTGTTGATTGGGATTAATTGCCTATCATGTATTATGTGGCTAATGTTTGAAATTTGGGTGGATGGGAACATAAAATTAGAACGCAGTTTGATCACTGAATAACAAAGTGTGTAAAGGCTTATGTAATGAACAAGGTAAAATCTCCAGCTACAAGTGCTCAGCTGAATGATATTCTTTGAACTAGCAACTGTTCTCAGAAGCAGGAGGAAAAGGGAAACAAAAACCAGCCAGCCCTAAGCAGCGTTATCTTTGTTTTCTAATTTTTCCATTTTGTGTCACAGAAATGCGTCTGTAACCACATAACAAACACAAATATGCTGAAGACCTCCTGACCTAACTCTTCTATGAAGGGACCTAACACTTCATAGGAAAAAAGCAACTAACTTTGGCAGAAGATATATAGCCTGCCTGATAGTCCTGCTTGGTTGTTCTTACATATTTATCATCTTCCTCATGACATGTATGTGATCAATGGATATTCATAGAGCCAGTAGCCAAAATGAATGAATAGTTGGAGGGAAATTAAGAAAGTGGAGACAAAAGGAGAAGAGATAAAAAAGGCCTGTTGAGACAAAAGTGTGTTTGGATTTCTTTGGCAACAATATTGCATTTTCATTTGAAGGTGTTAAACTGAAACTCAGGAGAAGAAGTAAAATTAAACTGCTAGGAGAATGTAGAATGCCATCTCTATTAGTAAGAAAAGGAGGTGAGCTGATACTGCTTCACATTCCCAGAAACTCCTCTTGTTGCCCTGGGGTATGAAATCTAAGTTTAAATCCCCTCTTAGACTGATGTGAATAAATGTTGAAATCATAACTCTCTTTTCTGAATGAATTCCCTGAATCATAGAAACCTATTTTTGAGAAATCATTGTATTTTCTGAATATTTTTTTTTCCTGGAAGGATAGTGTTCTTGGGGAGGCACAAAGGAAGGAACTGAATTATTGTATAATATACAGCATTACAATTTACTGTTAAAGTATGGCTAATTAGAAAACACAAGCCAGATTTGCCTCTGGTGAAGACTGGTACATCTGGTTTTGCCTCAGATGGGTGTTTGGCCTTCTGCATTTCTCTCCAGTGTGTACTAATATAATTTCAGAACTAAAAAGAAAATATGGTAAGCCAAGAGGATTTGTGATAATGGACATTCTGAACTATAAAAAAAAATCATATTTGCACATGCTTTGTGCATAGTTTGTTAGGGTAGTAAGCTTAAACAGTGGGGAGTAGTTGCAGTATTTTGTTTCTAGCCGTGCTTCTTTAGGTATGGTTTCTTTTTTAACCCAAGGAAAATGAGATGTAACTATATGGTTTTCTTCTGTCCTGATAGACAAGCCAGTCTCAATGAAGAAGCTGAGAGGTATTACGAAATGGCAGCAGGATTGAGACCTAATGTAAGTGCTTTCTTAATGATGTCCATTACTTAAGTTGAACATGCTACAGTGCTGAATCCTTTGTGTCAAGGAGAAACTTCTTGCTGAAGCATTTGATCTCTTGGTCTGTATTATTTATATTCTTTTAATGGTTAATTATTGGATAGTCAGATGAAGCTGTTAATTTGTCAAAGCAGTCACTATACTTTCAAGTTACCTCAGTGAAGTGTTCTAGCAACAAGTCTTACTTGGCTAACATACTTGGAAAAGATGTCCAGATTTACATTTATTTACCTGCCTTTCAATTTGTTAAGTTTGGAAAGCTCTTCTAGTTTCATCTATTTTCACTAGTAAAAGAGAATGAAAGACTCTTCTGTGATCCACTGTTTAAGGCATTTTAAATAATACGTTTATGACTTTTCCTCTGTCATGAACGTCTGGAAAACGTTGTTGTTCAACAAATTGATGGTGATTTTACCTCAGAGTACCTCTGAGGTTGTTGTATATTCGCAAAGAAATTCTTATTCCTTGAAGCAGAAATACGTAGTAGTATGTGACAGACCTTTTTTAAAAAGAAAAGCTCATTTCCAATTTTACTGCATCAGGAACTAAAAAAAAAAAAATTTTCTTTTTACCATTTTTTACTCAATCTTATATTTCCTTTCAATTACCTTCACATTTTGGGGAAAAAAAATCGTGAATATAAATGGGGCAGAATTTATTTTAAATACCTAATACTTTGTCTATGCAATAAATCAAATCTAGAACACATTCCTGTCACAGAAGTCTATAGTGTCAAAAAAAAAAAAAAAAAAAAAGAAAAAATCCAAATTGAAAAAAGAAAATAAATACAGGCTTAAAACAGAAGAGTTTTCAGATCTAAGAATCAAAAGCAACACCAGCTAAGCTCAAAACAAGCTAACAAAATATAATTCAGAAAAACCCAAATAACTTATTCATATGAAATTAATGCACTTTCACAACATCTCTTAAAAAAAACCTTTCCAAGATCTGTGTATTTCTTTAATTCATACTTTGTGATAACAATTTAGATTTTGTGTTTCCTTATGCTTTTAGATGCAAGACTTTCTGTTTTTTTCTGAGTGGATACTTTAATGTTGAAAGAATTCCCTCAGTTGGTACAAAGTTGGTATAGTTCCTCTTTTCTGTGGTTCATTGCACTCAAAATGTTTCTCAGAAACTCAAATTATTTATTCATATATAACCCTATATGAATATGATTATATGTGTGAGGTTTCTCAGAGAGCTTTGGAAGTAATTGAGGTCTTCTAGCTCATGGCAGTGGAACTGTAAAAATTAGGTATTTCTAGGTATTGCTGACAAACTTTACATGTTAAGACCAAAGTATCCTTTTTTTTCAGGATAAGATAATCAGAACAGTTTATTGTAGCAACTTTCTTCTAACTTAGATTAAAGTTAAAATCTAATACATACTGCTGTTCAGCTTTCTTTAAGAGATGATTTCACTTTTATGTTCAAGATTATAAAGTTTAACTTTCTAGCTAAGCATAGTATGCATATGGTTTATGGCTTTAAAAAAAATATTTTAATGATGCAGAGTGGGAAAGTTGTATCCTTTTTCACTGCCAGCATCAACTGTCCTACCACTGTACAAGGGCAATCTCTCAAGAATTAAAATAAAAACAGAAGTAGTCATACATACCTTTTTTTCTTATTGTCAACTCTCAAATTTACCATAAGAGTTTCAGAGTGGGAGGAAAAGAAGCTGCTCAAGGAGTTTTTCTAGGCAATGAGCAGTGTAATGCAGACATGGTAAGACAGGAGCTCCCAGTCTTTCCAAAGGAGTATGGAATACAAATTAGTGAAATCCTGTGTACTTCATAGCTACATCTGTACTGGTAAATTACATGTGTCCAGGACTATTCTCAAATGTTGATCCAACTGATGTCTCAAAGTATGTCCAGGCGCTGTCTGGGAGACTGCAGTGGCCCAGTCCAGAGCTATGTAGGAACCCCACTCACAGCTTGAAAATGCCCACGGATTACTTTATTATTTTGGATATAACTTGTGTATCCTCTCACTGTCTTATGAATATGAAGGATCAGCAAAATCATGTGAGTCAAGGAGCTAAAGAAGTATCCTTAAGCCAAATATAGTGCTGAAGGATTTTCATTTTATGTTTTTGTATCCATCACTAATGACCTAGAAACATTTCTTTGTAGAAAACTCAAAATACTACATGTATGAATGTGATGTAATGTACAGATGCATGCATATATCCAGTTCCATATACATACCCATATCTATATGTATGTTTGTGTGCACCTGTTTAACGTTAGTTGCTAAGAGGTCTGTTCCCAAATTCCCTCTCAGTGAGAATACTGTGGCAGTGCTGAAGTCTCATTCTGTGCAGTGGATCAGCCTTGTTCCTAGAACAATTGACTGCTAAAAGCATCTGTTTAACAAGAACCTTCCCCCTTCTGGTGCTTGAGACAGTACCTGTTGACATTAGTGAATTATGGATCAGCATCCCAAGTAAACTGGCTCTCTGCTGATTTTTCAGCAAGATTTTTTTTTTTCTCCTGTGGTTCCTCAATCACTCTTCCAGATCCCAAGTTGAAGATGCATTTCGCTGTTACCAACTCCCTTCTTATTCACTGTACCAAGATAACTAATTTATCAGTTATTCTTTATAATTACACCCATGTCTGGCTCCTGAGAGATTTTCAGTTAGTGCAGCGTGAACCAAAACACAGATTGCAGCTCTCTTGCATCCATTTCTTTACAAATATTACATACTGTGTAATATCTGTAATACCACTACTGTAAAATACCATCCTTAGCAGCAGTAAGAAATGTTAGTAATACTACAAACTCAGTCTTTTACTGATTGTTAGTGAATTTATATACTCATTGAGCTTTCAAACCACAATTCTGTTCTCAGCTTTCTTGCTTTGTTTTCCCTTTGCATCCTTTTTTTTTGGTTTCTCAGCCATTTCTGTTGCTTTTGGAAGGAAGCAATACCTCATACACAATACTTTCTCACCTGCACCCCTGCGTATAAGCCCTTTGGATCCAGAGGCTGCTCTGCTGAGCTTTTCTACACCCAAGTCCAGTTTAAACAGCCATCTGTGTTACAATATTCAGAGCTACTTAGTTGGCTATTTCAGTGTTTGTTGCAGACAGCAGTCTTCACTCGTGCATTTGTCTCCTAAGCAAGCCTTTTATTTCAGTCTCTCATGATTGGGGCACAACAGTGAGCAACCAATATGCCTTCATGTCTGAGTCACTTTCTCATTCAACTAATCCATTTTTATAAAAGTTGTGACTAAGGAAGATAAAAACATCCCCAGAAAAACATAATTCAGTTCCAGGAGAAATATAACTTCTGTGAAACATACAAGCCATTGTTTTTGAGAAAGCAAACATAGGAAGATTTTATTTTTGTAGTATTGAAGGTGATTTATTCATCATTGAACTAATTCTGAGAGGAAATATTGAAAATACCTTTTTTTTCTCTGTGAAAAGATTTATTACAATGAATAAAGTATTTGCAAAAAATTATACCCACTAAAGGAAAAACTGAATACAGCACAGCTGTGTTAAAATGTTTATCCACAGCTTGAACATCATCTTTGCTTGTGGATACACCTTCATTCTGCAGAGAGTAAAAGAATTAAAACACTTTGGTACAATAGCAGCACCAGCTGAAATGCAGCTTGGGTGCAAGGAAAAAAAACAGTCTGGCTAGTATTATTATTCCAGATTTAGACCTAACTGTTCTCTTAATAGTGTTCATGATTGGCCATATTTGCAGTAGGTATTTATCCTCTATGAAAGTAATTTTCAGTCAAATTTCAGAAGAACACTATTTTCTGTAGAATATAGTGCTGCTGTGGAGATGGGAATCATTTGTCTTAAACTTCACTGAAGAAGCAAGCATTTTCAAGATTATATCTATTTATTTC